GAGCAAGACACTTGGCAGTCCATCAGTCATCTGCAACTACACCGAGAGCTATTGGCCCGTTGGCACAACATTAAACAAAAACTTTGTCCATAAGACCAAAGTTTACATTAGGAAAAGATAGGATATTAAACGAGAAATCATTTTCTACTTGTTGTGATGGAATATGATGGCGCCTCGTAAGACAGATGGTCTTGGTTATTAGCATTATCTATAGACAAGAAAGTTTAAAAGAATCATGAGCTTACAGCGTGAGAAGTGTCGGGGAAGATGTGAAGGCATGCCACACACACATCGCAATCCATTAATAATAGTGCAATCAGGTCAACAACCCTTTTCTTTGAGATAACCGAGGGTCGACACGAACCATATGGCTGTTTTTATTCTCATTTCTTTGCGTCCTGCAAAATGTGTTATTCTCGTCATCTGTGAGGCGAAATGAAATTGTTCTGTTCGGGGCGAGAAACAAGTTTCCTGTGAACTCATTTCAATGCTGTGATCAGTAAGGTGTAACAGAACACACGAGTTCTTACGCAAATATCAGAGGAGGAATTGCAGTATCATCCACTCGAGGTCCACGAGAGTTAAGTCGGCATGCGTGTTTATTCACATGTGTGACTTTTATAGGAAGCCGCATTTGAAGTGGACAAAAAACCTCGGAATTTGCTAGCCGTGGAAGCCACATTGCACGATTATAGTCGTCGTTGTCATCAACCTGTCGCTTGTTTTCTTTCTCGATCGTCCTCTTTTTTGGTTGATAATTCAAAACTATCTCAAAGTTTCCATTCTTTGTACGTGATCACTGATCTTTTCAATTTTAAATAATTTCAATTTTGCCTGCTGTTGTGCATGGGTGCGCAACTCAGTATCTCACGTTAATGGTAAAAATTCGATTCAGGGTGCTTGCATTTCCCTTCAAAATGTTTCAACGGTGCATTTATAGCGTCATTCGGCTGTTAGTTATTCTTAGAAATTTCCGTTACGTTTATGATCCGTCATTCATATAAAAGTAATAATATGGCTATTATTATTATTATCTTTTTTTGGAATTTCCCTATAACTGTGCGTCCGAATTCGACAAAACTGTTAAAGTCTGTTTAGTTTTCTATTAACACCACTGTCTCGTATCCTATAAGTGAC